TGATAGAAAAAAACAAATCTGGGAGACCACAGTATAAAATCTGATGTGTCTGAGCTGCAGACCAGTCTTTGGTGATTCTGTACACCCCATAAACTCCTATTTATTTTTTGTTGGGTAAACAGTGTCCTTCCACAGTCCGTGCCTCAAGAAACTTAAGCTGACTCCCCACTAGTACTTGAGCTTTAGCGGCACTTGAACTTCAGCCTCCTCCCCTCCCCCGACAGATCAGCTAGCTCAATGATAAAGCCACAGTTACCTCGAGCTAGAGATTTGTGTGTGCAGATGGGAGTTAGGTTAGAGTTAACACTCAAGTTATACCTTGAACTAACAATGCTGTGGCAACATATGCTCTTAGTCTATGGGTTTGGTCTCAAGAGGCATTAAAGACAAACAAAACTGTGGGTGCTCAGCACGTGTGGGCTTAGCCCTAAAACAGATACAATCAATTAAGTTCAGACACAGGCTACATTCAGTAGGTTGAGTATCACTGTATTGGGGGAAGAGAGGGGGATTGTTTGTGTGTTTTCCCATTTTACTGCTGGATTATCATTGCAGAAGAAGTGAGTTTTACCCTAACCTTTGACACTAACCCTATGTGAGCCATTTATGCCTTCAGTCACGCAACTGTCCATGGGTGCTGATAAAAGTATTATTCAACAAGTGCAGCAAGATCTAGTTGACATTCTCTATGGATAAGTATAACATGAAGCATTAGGTTGTTTCTCAGCAAAGAAGGTACAGCTATTTTGAGTATCAACTAAAGCTGCTTATTCACAGGCTCCCTGTAAAATATGAAACATCATAGATGAAATGCTTAAAATGGGTGTTTAAAGAAGAGAGCCCAACTAAAACATTTACATAATCTTTAAATATTAATATTTGTAAATAATACCTGAACATCTGCTGGCTTGAGCAAGGTCACTGGCATGGAGATAACTCCAAAAGGGTCAGAACAAATGCAATCTATTTTAGGACGAGAGGAGGCTGCATAGAACATTAGTAAAGCAACAGTCTTTGTCATTATCACTTTACCCAATAGCTGTCACTAATGGGTTGACATCAGGCAAGACTTAACTATGACAGTTGGGCTGTTAATAACATTGCTTACATAACGTCTGCTCTAGCGCTTTACAGTGATAACTTTTCTTGGATACTTCACCTTCCTTCTAATATTCTTCCCCAGTCTCTCCTCATATAACTCTTGCTCATTTTTCTCAGGTTTTACAAACATGCTACATGACACATGATTTCACTACAATCTAATACTACTGCCTAGGTTCCCTGGGAAATATTTCTATTTGGGTTTGTGTGGAGATGACAGTCATTTTCATTTGGAACATAAAGTTATAGGCCTGATTCACAGTATGTTACTCTGCTTTTTTGCCAGATTCTTTTTACACTAAAGCTCCTTTACAACACTCTGGAAGTGTAAGAGGGCCTTACAGTGGGCACAGGTTACAGTTACACCCATCTTTAAGGCCCCTTTACACTCCCTGAGCAGGACAAAAGGGCCTTAGATTATATGAGAATCAGGCCCCATTGACTTCAGTTTTACACTGGTATAACTCGGTTGGAGTAATGCAGTGGTGAATGAGGCCCTATGATTTTATGATGCATAACAATAAAAATATATAAATATAAACTGGATATAAAAAATATATCGAGTTAATTTACTCTATTTTTTCCTAATCTTTTTCTATATGATTTATTTTAGCACTAGAAATATACACAACAAGATTTTTTGATACCACAGGAACCTAAACATCCAGCTCCTGTCACAAAGTTGTCCGGTTGCATTTGATTTGTGCTTACATAGCCTACAGTCTAATATAATTAAGTTGTTGCCAAGGTTAGTTCTTAGCCATACACAGTTAAATCCTGTTCAGCTGCACCCATTTACTGACACCCATTGTCAGTCTTGGGCAATTTTGCTAGTTCAAACAAGGCCTTTGTGAGATGTCATTGTTTTCAGCAGAAATTACAGAAACATGGTCTCCACATCCATTCCCCACCTCCCGCCAAGATGCTTTCAAAATCTCATCTCTGAAGCTGAAAGTGCAATTTTCTGAAATGTCTTCAAATGCAGCTTCCAATAGTCTGCTCATTAAGTTGATGAACATTGGGTTGAAGTAACTGATTTTGCAAAAACTGCTTCAGGTTTTTAGGATCTTGCAGGATCCTAAAGATTGTATTGTTTTTTTAAAATACTCTGTTAAATTGAGCAAAATATTTAAAATACACTGTATTAAAGTTACAAGAATGACAATGTAAACACGCCTTTATTTATTTGGGTGTGAAACATACAAAGAGACACCTCTCTCAGGCTCTGGGCACACAGATAAAATATTAAAAATACAATAAAAGACAGAAGAAAATACAATAGAACAATAGCAGCAGGTCCCATAAAACCTAGAACTTCAGCACAGAGCACAACAAAATCTTGTCCTTCAGCCTCCCCAAGAACCTTCCATACCAAATGCATAGCAGCCCCGCCAGAAAGAACATCTCCTGGAGATCACTTGATTCAGGCTATTTCAGACCAAGTGAGGAGAACAGATCCCAAAGTAGAGGGCCTGCCTCAGGAGAATACCCCACTAGCCGCTCCCTCTTGTATAAAACAAGGAGATTCCAAGTCAAGTCCTACTCTTCATCACACTTGTAGCAGTATCATGAGAGAGAGAGAGCCAGTGCCGTACTGTCTACTTCAAGTGTTCAAAACTCATGAGGCTAGCTTGAAAATCCTAAGATTTTTAACAATAAAAGACGCTTAATTCTTTTTCATTTGCATTCCAGTATCTGAGCCTTTAGAGTGCACTTGGATCATGTGCTTTTCTTTGCTACCACAGTGACTAGAAGCTTACTGCTTTTTTCCCCCATGAAAGCAGAGATTCTCATGTAAACACATGACTCCAGAAGTTGGGGCTTTAAGTAAAACAGCAAATGTCATGAGACTCACAATAAAATCATGAGAGCTGGTAACACTCAACTAGGCAGGTCTCCGGCCATGTAGGGCTTTTTAGGTCAAAATCAACACTTTCAACTCCATTAGGAAACCTATAGGCAGCCAGTCAGTTCCAGAAGTCCAGGTCATGTGCTCACAGTGACATGCTCCACTTAACCAACAGGCTGCTGCACTCTGTACTCATTTCAAGTTCTGAACAGAGTTACAATACAGCATCTTCTTACACAATAGATTTGTTGGCTGAGTGTATCCTGAACTATTACTTGTAACCTGAGTAAATTTGATCTGGAATCATTGGGAGATAAACATGGATCCTACCGTGCCATTTTGCATTCTGTTTTGAGAATACAACCATACTTAACACATTTTTGACTACTTTCTTTCTGACTTTTAAATAACATTTTAATATAATGCTGAATAATATGGCTACAATTGCCAACCACTGCAGTCATAGCAAGATAGGAATATAGATTACAGTCAGCACAGCCTTTCAGATTATGTAGTCTAACGTGAGCATGTGGTAAATACAGGTCTGTGCTGGAGTTTTTTACCCTTGTTTCCTTTGGTAAAAATGTGCCATGTTGTGTAAGGAATGCCTGGCCCCCTCCTCCTAAATTATCAGTACAGTGTGTCTCCATTTTAAAGGCAGTTCACACAGCCATGAGTGTCTGAACTTGCCCTCCTCACTTCTGGGAGGGTCGTTAGCAGCACAACCCCAAGTGGTTTATTTTTTCCAGTTTTAGCATTTTACTTCTGCCCTTTCATTTCCATCAATAGGGGGATCCATCCAACCCAAACCTTTCAGCACCAAAACACAGCCCTCTACTGCTTGAGCTAAAGGAGAACTCCTGTAGCTATAGATAAGTAATAGGCTTGTTATAATCACTGAAGCCAGTCATCAGAGGGGATACATCATTGCATGCATGCAGCCAGTGTTTTACACCACTGCTTCCTGCTTGGAAGCAGTGGAGAAAAACAGATAACCAGAAAAGTTGCTGTACCAGAAGCAGTTACAGAACTTCTATAGTTAAAAACCTTTACCTCTTGACCTCCCTCCTTTAAGGACTCTACATAAGGAGGCGGAGGACTGATGCTGACTTACAGGGCCAGGGACTCAGTCTGAGCAGTGGAGCAGGGCAAAATACCAGAACATTCCTAGTTTTTAGGGACATGTGGTCACCTTAGCCTGGTAGCCGCTTGAAAGAGGACAGGATAGGCTTTCCAGAACCTAGTTGTCTGTTAGGAAGACTGAGGGGGCATCTTTGATCTGCTGGCTCCTGATATGTGGTGGCAGGAACTAGCTCTCTGCCCTCTGCAGCAGCTTCTCCCCTCACCTGCTCTTCTTTTTCCCACGTAGCTTTTCTGGGCTAGAACCAGCTACAGGGAGGATTACGTCAGGGCTGACATCGCCACTGCTGCCATGACCTACCTCTGGAGTAGTGAGCAGGGATCATCCTTTAGAATCAAGAGGGTGGCTCCTAAGCAAATTCCTGTGGTTGATGAGTGGGAAAAGGATGGAAAGGTGTTGGTGGGCCTGGTTCCTCCTCCTCCTAAGTTGTTGTACAAGGTTATGAGAAATCAGGTTTACAACTTGACAAAACTATTCTGGTTCTTCTGTGAGCATGCAGAGTGACCTGGCTGATGATTTATCTGTTTAATTATTTTATGATTTAATCATGTCAGCTCAGAAGCTCATCATGAGCCTTCTTCACAACTAGAAATAAACATCCAACCAATAACTGTAGCTGTTCTTCCCTTCTAGACACAATTCTCAAGCAGAGTGAAATATCATTTAAGAAAAGGTCCAGATCCATGCTCTTGGAAGCACTACTCAACTGAAGGAGAGCTTACCGATAGAAAGGAGTCTGTCTGTTCTCCTAGGGTACTGGAGGCCAAAGTCTGCTACAGTTACCTTGGAGTATCCACTGAAGGTATTGGGGTTCTTTCCACCTTACACAGAGGTAGGAGAGAACAATCTGGCTCAGAGATATTTTCCCAAAACAAATGAACTGAAAAATAGACAGAACAACACTCCTACCTCCAAAAGCTGGCCTCATGGTGAAATCGTGGTCATCGACTCTCAGGAGCTGTTCCGTTTTTCCTTTCCGAGTTTTGGTCATGTCATGATTCTTCTTATAGATGTGGCTGTAAAAGATGAACAACAGGGCTGTTTGTTACTCCAGTTCTGTAATCATTGTACCCGAAGTGACTCTAAAAAGATGACACCTTAGTGGATGAGAGTTATTTTGTCTCGCTGGTTTCCATGCGATGTTAAGGAGTAGCAATATGTATGGTAGTTTTGTCTGAGCAGCTCCCCGCTGCCGGAATTACCATGAGAGCAGCAGGACTTCTGGGCATGGTGGCGGGGGAGGCAGCGTAGAGGAGACAGGGATGCCCTGCTGCAGCTACTAGCATGGAATTACCATGCATACAGTCCACAGCCATATTTTTAATGTCCATTTCTAAGGCCTGGTCTACACTAACACCCCAATTCGATCTAAGGTACGCAACTTCAGCTACGTGAATAACGTAGCTGAAGTCGACATACCTTAGTTCGAATTTACCACGGTTCAGACGCGGTCCACACACGGCAGGCAGGCTCCCCCGTCGACTCCGCGGTACTCCTCTCGCTGACGTGGAGTACCGCAGTCGACGGCGAGCACTTCCTGGTTCGAATTATCGCGTCCACACCAGACGCGATAAATCGAACCCGGAAGTTCGATTGCCAGCCGTCGAACTACCGCGGTAGTGTAGACAAGCCCTCAGTCTAACAAGGTTCTCTCCGCTGCCCTCCCTGCAACTTCAGCATGGTCTCTGAGAATCAGGCTGTGCTCTTTCTACTTCAGATATCATTACTGTCAAAAGGATTCTAGAATGAGAGTGTAGCAGGTAATTTTGCTGAGGATGCTCAAGGTAGGCTAGGAAGCATTTGCTTTTCTGCTGCTACATTGTTTCTTTTGTGCTGACTATAGTAAAAATAGGGTTTGATCTAAAAACTAAACTGATGTGACTTGGACTTCAAACAGGTCTGCCCACTGTCAAGGTGAGTGAGGTAATATCTTTTAATGGATCAACTTCTGTTGGTAAAAGAGACAAGCTTTCAAGCTACACCTGACCTGAAGAAGAGCTCTGTGTAACTTAAAAACTTGTCTCTCTCACCAAGTTGGTTCAATAGAAGATATTACCTTGTCTCGCTAATATCCTGGAACCAACATGTTTACAACAACACTTCATACAGTATCAAGGTGACATTATTGTAGATTCACTTTTGTTTGAATATATTTATGCACTGTCATATGATGCTCTCAGTCCACTGCACCAATGGGAGCTGTGCGTGTGGATCGGGGAAAGCTTGTTTCCCATAAACCTTAGTAGTAATAAAATCACTCCATTCCCTCCAGGGTATTAGTATTGCATTGTTTTCACTCTACCTGAAGTCTACCTTAATTCTTAGTCCTCCATTGCCCTGTATAGCAAGTGAGAAAATGAATTCATTTTTCATTCAGATATAATGGAATATACCACAAACTACAACCACAGTAAGGAGATAGCAACAAGCCTCTGAATAAAGGGCTAAAAAAATTCACCAACCAGCATACACTGGGAATTCAATTATAGTCCTGTCAGCTAACTGTCCCTTGCACCTCTAAGAGAAAATCCGATTCTGCAATCACAACAGTTCCACATCAATATAGAAGGAAGGATTAGAATAATTAAGATCTCTGAACCCCTTTGCCCTGAAAGTGAGACCTTATAAGATCTAAATACTGCTGCAATTAATGATCAGAGAGTTACTAAGAAAATAAAAGGGGTGAGGCAGGACAGTTAAATCCATTTGTTTGGGGGGTTCATTGGCTGGTAGAGGCAGAACTTGAGTGGAGGAATTGGAACTCTATGTTGGCAATAGTGAATGCAAGAAAAAAAGACACTAAATGAGGATGAGAAGTTTCCAACAAAAACAGAGCTTAAAAATAAACACTGAATGATCCACTGAAATCAGTAAGGATCAGGTCTGTGGGTAGAAGTGTTTCTCAGCATGTGTGTTAAATACTGGTGTTGTCTGTTTGCATATAAAGTTAATTAGGGCATGATGATGAACAGGTGGAAACACTGTCCAATATTCTGTGCTCAGTTACAGATGTGCGCAACTCCATGAGTGTTAACTGAGTTGCACTCTTATTAAAATCAGCTATGCTACTAGAGGGTACCAAATGTTGCACCTATTTTGAAAAAGGCTGTAGGGCTGATCTAGGGAATTATAAACCAGTATAAGCCTTACTTCATTGGGGGTATATTAGTTGAAATAATAATTATAAACAGAACTATTAAACAGTTAGATGAACATGATATGATAGAGCCAAACCAGCATGGCTTCTGTAAAAGAAAAGGGTGTATCTCTCTAATATGTTAAAGTTCTTTAAGTCAACAAAATAGCAAATTAAAGAGAACAGCTAATAAAATTGATTTGGGTTTTCAAAAAGCCTTTGACAAAGTCTCTCACCAAAGGGGTGTATTAAGGAAACTAAGTAATCATGGGGTGAGGTGTAAAATACTGTTATGGATTGGAAACTAGCTAAGAGGCAGAAACAAAGTAGGAATAAATGGTGGATTTTTACCATGATGAAAGGCCAGCAATAGAATGGCCCAAGATCTGTACCAGGACCGGTGTTGTATAACACCTTTATTAATGACTTGGAGAAAAGGTGAACAGAGAGGTGGCAAAATTTGTAGTTGACTTGAAATTATTAAATTACTCATGATTAAAGAATTTGGTGAGGAACTTCGGGACAACCAAACAAAGTGGGTAGCACAATGGTACATGAAAACTGGTATTAGGCAAGCGGCAGACAGAGTCAATTTGGTTAATTTAATGTACTCCTCTCTACATACATGCACATCATAGATCATTTGAAATCTTATTATGTCTACTTTAAGATGAGGTATGATGTGGAGCTGTCAAGTGGTGCTATTACCAAAGAAACAGGGATAAATAGTGACACCAGCTACATGTTAAAAATGATCATTTTAAACTAACAGAAATGAATGCAAATATTTCTATGACTCTATGTATTATTGCAAGACATAACATTGGATTTCTTTGTGAGTTCAAAACATCACAACAACAATGTAAAAGAAAACCTAACAATAAATCTGGACAAGTATCATTGAAATGTAATAGCGCTGGTGACATTTCTAGTTAACATCGTCATCGTCAATTTTTTCATCATTATGATCTCTGTCAAGAATGAATGGGTTACCATAGTCTTCATTGCCTTGGCATTTACACAGTTCTGTACAGGGAACATTGTTCTGACTACAGACACAGCTGATTGTGCAGTGACCCCTACTGGTACAACTAAGATTTTGTAGAAGCTCAGATGTCATTGGGCCCTTGAAGAATATAGGATGTAGTTCATGATCCACATTTTCCCATCCTTGTTGCAAAGGTGATTCAATATCTAGTTTATCTATGTGTGAAGACATCCAAACCTTTGTTTGCCAAGATATTTTTCTGACATGATCTTCAAAACTGTCCTGACATGGTGGGAATTTGGCCAGTGACGTGTCCTTTTTGATGGATTGATTGAGGTGCAAGCAATTCAGGTCTTCGTGGGTCTCCTTTTCTTTCTTGCTTTGGTCATACACCACCGCTATCAAATCCCTTGCTGCAGAAATTGTGGCTTGTCCATCACTTTCTCCCAATATGACAAGATCTCTCAAGTGGTAGGCTCCCTTTATTTTGACAACATTAAACACAGATTTTCCCTCCAATACCAAATAGAGATAACACAGAGTCACATCCTGGTAATACATGCACTCCTGGAAGTATGTTGCAGAAGTCATGTGTGCATGTGTCACAAATTGCATGCACTGGTATAAAGCGATGCTTATCAATTGGCCTGGGAATGGTCCCTGTCTCAATCCACGTGTTATCTGTGTGTTCCATTTTTGAAAAGGAATGAACAGCAAGCACCAAAACACCTGTATCAGATGACCTAATTACTATGCTTTCTTTCACACTGAGAGACCAAAAGGTCATATAGGCACATAGAGCATACAGAAGCATCCTTGTGTGCACTTACTCTTGAATACTGTACAAATCTTGGGCTTCTTCAGTGCCTCTATGGATGATGGAATTTGCTACTTTGCTATTGGAAAAGCCCCCAGTAAGAAGTAATTCTTGTGCTGTATGTGCTTCTATATTCTCAGGTGCTTTTTGAACCATATATTCACAGAGGAATTTTACAAGTGACTGCTTGTTGGATGCCATGTTTAGAAACTTCTTCCATGGAGGCACAGGGCATCCACCAATCACCGAGTATTTCTTGCATACAACCTTAGATCCTGTCCAGCACTGTCTTTTTGCAGTTTTCACAGAGTTACTATTGTCATATCTGTCAATGACTGATTACAGAATTAGCTTTGTCAAATCCTTTTAGGACCTGCCTCAACTATTCAGCAACCAATTCATCCAATGTGTGGAATTTGTCTACAGCCATCATTTGTATTTCAGCCATGGCATCTCTGATGTACACAGTGGTTTCTTTGTTGCATGGTCTTAGCTCATGGATTCTTTCAGCCTGAGCTTCCAGCTGATGCCCTAATTCAGTTTTGCCTGTTCTTCTCATCGTTCTATCAGCATGGAAGAGGGACATAAGAACAATATCTTGAAACATTATCTCTGCATCTTGCTCAGGACAGGTCTCTGCAGAAAACAATTCCTGGACTGCTAGTTGCTATGATTGTCCCTCCCTTATCAGACTTACATTTGATCTTCTTGGCCATGCTGGCAAATATTCTGATGCCAGATTTCTTGATTGGGCTGAAGAAACTACATGTCCCATCAGAATCAAGTGCATCTCTCTCAAATCTCTCCATTTGTTCTTCACCAACATCTGCTATTTTCAGCAGAGACTCTTGTACAACTGATATTACATGTAGTCCAGTAGATATGTTGATAAGCATCTCCAGATGATTCAGGGTCAAATTGGTTTGTCATATTGTTGATGATATGGTTGATAAGAGTTGTAACATGCTCTTCATCCCTCTTCAGTGCAGAGGAAAGGACTTGTTTATGGACTTTGTCTTCACTACTTGCTATTAGACCACATCTTTCTCTCATAGCTTTTGCATATTCATAATAT